TCTCTGTACACAGAGAGCTGTTACCCTTCCCTTTATAGTTATGACAGAACCAATGATGTATTGCTGTTGCAAAAAGGCTAATCATTCTGTAGTGTATTAACAAGAGTGTTGTATGTAAGACATGAGAGGTAATTGTCTCATAGACTCATATACCTTAAGGCCAGAAGGGACCATCGTGATCATCTAGCCTAAACTCTGCAAATCACAGGCCACAGAACCTCATCCACCCACTCCTGTAACAGACCCAACTTTCCCACTCTACTCAGCGCTGGAGAGGTCTCAACTGGACTACTATGTCCAGTTTTGGGCAACACACTTTAGGAAAGATGTGGGCAAACTGGAGAGAGTCCAGAGAAGAGCAACAAAAATAATAAAAGGTTTAGAAAACATGACCTATGAGGAAAGATCCAAAAAACTGAGCATGTTTAATCTTTGGAAAAGAAGACTATGGGGAGACCTGATAAGTCTTCAAATATGTTAAGGGCTGTTATAAAGAGGATTGTAAAAGCAGCAAAGAGTCCTGTGGCACCTTATAGACTAACAGACGTATTGGAGCATGAGCTTTCGTGGGTGAATACGACGAAGTGGGTATTCACCCACGAAAGCTCATGCTCCAATACTTCTGTTAGTCTATAAGGTGCCACGGGACTCTTTGCTGCTTTTACAGATCCAGACTAACACGGCTACCCCTCTGATACTTGACATAAAGAGGACTTTGATCAATTGTTCTCCATGTCCACTGAAAAGAGGTCAAGAAGCAATGCAGGAAAGTAGATTTAGGTAGATATTAGGAAAAACTTTCTAGCTATAAGGGCAATTAAGTACTGGAAGAGGTTAACAAGTTGGACAAACACCTGTCAGGGATTATCTTGGTTTACGTGGTCCTGCCTCAGCATGGGGTATGGACTAGATGACCTCTCAAGGTCTCTTCCAGCATTTTATTTCTATGATTATATTTGAGACTGCCTTTCCTCCCATGATAAAGTAGTTGTGATCATCCAAAACTTGCGTCCTGATTTAATTGGGAGGGGACTGGCAGCAAGTCATTCTCCGATGAGTCTTGGCTCTGTATGGTCACTTCCCACCTCTGTCTGCCCAAGCCCTGATTTGGTGACTTTTAGAACACTTTCTAAATTTATTGGTTCTCCCACATTTTCAATTGATGAGTAAGTGGGGGAGTCATCTGATAATGTAATTTCCTTCTGTCCCTTCCCATGACACACACAATGACACTTCAGTTTCCTTCTGATATTCAGGAACAGGAGGTGGCAGGCTTTGAAAATCTTCACTCAGGGGAAAAATAGGCCAATGAACTCATTATTTATCATAGACTGGGAAATGAAAAAGTATTGCTTACTCTGGGAATTAGACTGGGGGGGCACCCAAAGTATACAATAGGAGACAGTCACTGTCTATAGAAAGCTTCTTCAGAGAGTTTCTAAAGCTCCTGTGAAATTTGATTAACCTGTGTCACTCAGAAACCTTGAAAAATGTAAAGACACTGCAATCATAGTTCCTTTATTATGAAAGTGCAAGTGAAAAGGCCCAAACAATAAATACACTTGCAATAAAACCATTATATACACTTGTTAAATAGAAAAAAAGTTCCATTCAGTGCAAGAAGATTTAAATAAAGACCTTACCGTAGAATGTTGGAGAGTATGTAATAAACTGCTAATATAACTTACTGCATAACCTCCACAGTTCTGTTAAAAGGTCATTACTGAGTTCTATGGATTACTGCAGATCCTGAATGTGGGAAAGTGGGATGGCATGTCTATCTTCAAAGCAAAAATCTTTATATCCTCCCTCTGAACATAAACAGAGAGAAGAACTTTTAAGAGAAGTATCTTGAAAAAAATGGTGTTTTATTGTTGTTGTTTTGAGAATTACCAGTGAAACAGGTGGATCTGACACACCTTCAAGTATTTCATTGTAAAGACCGTTACAGCAAAGGAAAACCAATTACAATATTTGTAAAAACACAATCCTATTCTCTGTCAACAACACTGCTTTGATTTCAAATCCAAGGCTGAAAGGTCTCATTGCACTATCTAGTGCTGTGATCTATTTTAAATGACTGTTTGGATGCTTTTTTGTCAAAATATAATCTACACTCTTCTGTCCCCAAAATTTCCATTTTAATAACCTTCAGACTCCTTACTTCAGCAGACACACCTACTGCTAATCATTACAGTAAGATAAGACAAGCACACTGCACAACTCCTATGTTAAACAACATATACACCAACTGAAAATACATTTAATGAGAACTTGTAGAGATGTCAGTAGGAGCCATATATTGTTAAGGGCTCAACTTCTAGTCATTTTAAATGTATAGCAGACCATTGGTTTTTAGTAGTTTGATTGCTGTATGCTAATACTGCCTTTGCTTTTGCAGTAATTCTGTTCCTTATATCTTGTACGTTACTAACAGTAGTACTTACATAATGCTTTACAAATATTTATTAATGGATCCTCACAACACCTCTCCATGAGATTAACTAATAAATATTATTCTCTATTTTATAAATGAGAAAACTGAGGCACTGATGTTCAATGACTGGCCCATGGCCTCAGTCAGTGGCCGACATGTGAGAACTCAAAAACAAGATGGCAGATTCTTTCCATTTCAGCCAATTTGTGCCACTCAGATGACACAAAGAGGCCAGAATTTGGCCCTAAATTGACAGGTGGGAATTCCCCTGGCATGGGTAAACAATTTATCTTGACATGTTAAAACTACAACTGCCTTGTCTACACTAGAAGTTTGCCATGTGATAGTTATGACCTGTCAGCTAACACATGGTCAAAATAGATTTTTTCCTAAGGTAGATGAATGCACTGTTGGTAATATAAAGCCTATGACACAGTTGTGCAGTTCCAATTCAATCTGGTAGAGGGAAGCAAAGCACATACCACAACAAATGGACTAGTGTGTATTTTTAATTTGTATGAATAGTTACATCAAAATCATCAAACAGATAGAGCTTTTGCATCTTTGTGACTACAGATCTATCTTCAACTGAAGAGATCCCATGTTCGTCATAGTAATTCCTTCTAAAAGATCATCTAGTTTATTATTGGGTTTTATGCTAATGTCAGTATTTCCTTTATAAGTCTCCATTATTATTTGATTGACTGATGGAGCACCACCTGGGTACTCAGGACTTTGTAGCTAAGAAACAACATTTCCAGTCCGTACCCACATACTAAAGGAACTTGCATTCTAATTAGACACAGAGAAAAAGTGCAGACACATTGACTCCTTAGAGCCCACAAGGTTGAGTTTACGCCATGGAAGTTGGATCTTTAATTTTTGCCAATGTAATAATGTAGAAATATGCATTTTCTTCACAGATGAGAATCAGTCTGTTCCTGGGCAATCAATGGTCAAAGCCATTTTAATTAATAAGAAAACAAGGAAACCAAAAGAATTTAAAGAACACATTCCTGTCAGAAAGGTCACCCTGGAGTTAACTTCCAATGGCAATGTACAAGACAGTTCACCATGGCGTACACACCTGGGAATCCACCGTCTACTACAAACTGATTGTCAGAAGGCTCCATGTGATCTTGCCCTCTGCAAGAACGAACAGATTAGCTTTGACAATGAGAGATTGACTGTGAAGGAAAATGTCATGCTGCCATATGAAAAAACACTAACTGCAAGTGAACAATCCACAGTATCACTCAATGAACTGGGAAATTCAAGTATGTTAAACAGTCCCACTGAAGAGAATAGCAATTCCATTTCAGGCATCTACCAGAAGTATCCTTTGAAGTCAGTCTCTTCAGCAATTTGGACACACCAACAGATTTCATCCACAAAATGTATACCCATATCCAGGAAGCTAAGCTATTACCCATTCCCTCAGAAAAAAACACCCAGGATCTCAGAAGCTGCAAGAAGACTTGGATTATATGTCTCACCATAAAGAAATTTCAGTAATGTGTAAAGTTTAGTTAACATTTAAAATAAAATTTCAGTAAACTAATTTTTCAAAGTAATTTTGATTTACTTGCTAAGGGGTTAGTACTTTATATTATAAGAATTTGCATGGGCCAATCAATGTGTTTTAGAAGTTCATACAGTGAAAAGTCTGTTAAATGAGTTGCAATGTCATAAGGGGTATTGGACAATAAAGAATTTTTATACCTGGAGCATCATCAGGATTATCCATACTCATTTTTGTACCTTCAAATATAGGAACTAATGTTAACTCATTTTGCATTGATTTCTTTTTTTTTCTAAATCCAAACTACTGATTTTTGGGGGAGAAGAATTCTATCATAGTGAGATTACAAATCATTTGAAAAAGCTGTAGCAAAGATTAGCACTTACAAAAATTGCTGATGAAGCAACTGGATTGGATTTCAGTACTGCAAAATTCAATTAGCAGTCTGAACAAGCAACAAATGAAGCAGGTTTTAGAACAACAGTAGCCAGGGTGATTAATACTCTAGTTAACATGTGGTTTTATTATTCATTTACTTCCACAAGTTATTTATGATTGATTTTCCTCTGTGTATCCTAAAACAGTGAATAAAACCATCAGATCCTATTTCTGTTGCTGTCCTTAATGGCATTAAATACAGCAAATATCCAAATGCTTTTCCTATTCATAAATCCCACATGCTGTTAATTGTTTCTTCCAGCTGTGAATTAGAAACACACCTGTTCCTTGTGGTGGTGTTGTTGCCGCCGCCATAGTAAGATGAATTAGTCAAGTTGTGATGTGGTTTTCAATCAAAGAATTGGTGCTAGCTAACATAAACATACAAGATAAATCAGATGTACAGTATGTACTTCCAAGGGACATGTGGAGAAACAATTTTTTGGGTCATTCCAAGATGGAATGAGCAAAGCCCTAGGAAATACTGAACACTATGGGGAATTATTTTACAGTGGCCAGGGGATGGACTAGAAAACTTAGAATATCTTTTCCATTTATCACTTCTCATTCTTTGATATTCTGTGCTAGTAAAAACATTCTTCATCTTCCAAAATAAGCTATTATGTGCTTCAATATTAGATTTGGTCCTGAGATGTAAACTTTCCATTTGACTTGTTACACAGCCAAAGCTACTAAAGGACTTATCTGTACAGGGAAATTGATTGGCACTTATTTAGCAGAATATTAATGTCATATATCTTAGAGCTTTTATAGCTATGCCAGTATAAATCCCACATGTGGACACCCTATTCTGGAATAAAAGTGACTTTATACCATAATTATTCTAGAATAAAGTCACACTGATTCTGGAATAGAGTGTCCACACAGGGACTGGCATAGCTATAGGGGAATACCAGTTGCCAGGCAACTTCCCCTGTAGACAAGTCTTAAAATAAGATCTGAGTAAGTGGGGCACCTGCTTTATGAGACAAACTTCAAGGAAATATAGTTTCCTAATAACCATAATATGATACCACTTTTATATTAAAACTGGTCTACAAATATTAATGAACACTACGCAGAATTAGTTGCTCCGAACTTTTAACAGGATCATCTTAACTGTGCAATATGCTTTGGGATGATTTTTGGCCTAGTTCTCCAGTCAGTTTACAGTTAGGGATGGTAAACACGGATATTAAACGCTGATAACTGTGTTTTTGCCCTCGGCTTTAAGAGCCTATCCAGCTTCCATTAAATTCAAAGGTGGGATACCCGATGACTTCAATGGTAGTTGGACTGGGCACTAAATCAGCCAGCCTCACATAATGGAAGCCAGGAAATCTCCAGTAATTTATTATTTTTTAATGTTTTGATTTTTTAATCAATGATCAATTGAAGACAATCTATTTTTACTAGGCAATAATTAAAAGGCACAGAAAATATAGACGCAGCATACTCGGAGAGGACATAGCTATGCCAGCATACATTTTAAATGTAGAGCAAGACTTACTGTTTTTAAATTTAAATCTTTGTAGACTTCCTTGCAATTTAGGGCGGGGCAAATTACAACTAGAGACTTTAATATTGTACTTAATATTCTTTTGAGCTGAATGGACAGTTCACATATCTTAGAGCTTTTATATTAAGTTGTATTCATTTCAATAAGGTATTCTCTTTGAGTTGCAAACACTCTATTGAGATAAACTGGTGGCTCATACCTTAGAGCTATTGAATCAGGCTGTTGGCAGAGATCATGGGTTAATTTCTAAGGCCTGGTCTACACTTAAAACTTAGATTCACATAGCTACTGCTCTCAGAGGGTTGAAAAATCCACACATGTGTCTGATATAGTTTTGCCAACTGACCTACAGTGATCCTGGAGTTCCTACAGCGATGGAAAAACCTCTTCCATTGCTGTGGCCTGTATCTACACTACGATGGCACCATATGCACAGAACCACATAGCTATGCTGGTATAACCCCAGAGCATAGACGCAGCCTACACCAACAGAAGATGCGTCTAGGGTGCCTTCATCCTCTACCCCGGGTTGACTATGCAGGGGACCTGGAACAAGACTTTACATTGTGGGAAGTAATGACCAGACTTACAAAAGACCAAAAACGCAGCCCCAGGAAAAGATGGCATTTGCTATAGCTTCATGAAAAAACAAGACACCAGTTGCCTGGTATTAACTGCCATTTTCAACAAATGCAAACACTTCTGCCGTACTTCCAGCTTCTGGAAGAAGTCCATGATGGTGTTCCTCTACAAGAAACGGAAGCAAGACAACCCCAGCAACTGGAGACCCATCTCTCTCTATTCCACCATATACAAACTGTATGCCAGCTGCCTTGTGGCTAGGATCACAGACTGGTCAGTGAATGGAGGAGCCATCAGCTCCATCCAGAAGGGCTTCAAGTCTTGCGAAGGCTGCTATGGACACAACATTGTCCTTCAGACTGCCAAACACCTGTCAGGGATGGTTCAAGTATAGTTGGTCCTGCCTCAGCACATGGGGCTGGGATTTGATCATCTCACAATGTCCCTTCCAAGCCTGCATTTCTATGATACAATATACCTTCATTATATCTTTATACCTATATAACTGTGTCCACGCTCAGGTTTTACCAACATAGCTAAAGTCATACAACTTGATGTGTAGACAAGGCTTAAGGTTTTTCTACAGTGCACATATGCAGCTGCAAACCAGCTGAGGTCTCTCTGAAAGGGGAAGATATTCTGATGCCTGGTCCACACTTGAAAATTAGATCAACCTAGCTACATCACTCAGGACTGTGAAAAATGTCATGCCCTGAGCACCGTAGGTAGCTTGACCTAACTCCCGGTGTAGACATGGCTAGGATTCTTCTGTTGACCTAGCAAGCTCCTCTTGAAGAGATGGATTACCACCACCAGAAAAAACCCTTCCGAGGATGTAGGAAGCATCTACACTATGGTGCTACAGCAGCAGAGCACAGCTGCTGTAGCATAGACATACCCTGAGTCTATACTGCCATAGCTATAATGACATAGCGCCCTAGTGCAGATGCAGCATACGCCGACAGGAGTTTTTCAGTATAGGAACACCACCTCCCCAAAGGACATTATCTATGTTGACAGAAAGACACTTCTGTTAACATAGTTGTGCCTACACTGGTGGGGTTTTCAGCATACCTATGTCGCCAGGGGGTAGGGGGGTGTTTTTTCTTGTCCCTGAATGACATAGCCATGCCGGTCTAAGTTTTAAGTGTAGACTAGGCCTCAGCCTCTCCTTTCTCCCTGCAACTGCAGCATCTGTGGGGGAAGGGAAGACCCATGCCACTTCCCCCTCCACTTCTCTGCAATCAGGGAAGGGGCTCTGGGATTCTCTACCATCCACTCCTGGGCGCAAGGCATCTGCAGAGCCCCTTCTCCCTGCACTGGGAGGGATATGGGTTAGGGACTCAACACTGCTTCCACATAGTAATGGTGCTCCTCACAGCCCTTGACTTCCCTATGGTCGCTCCAAACCCTAAAAGAGACATAAAGGGAGAAGTGAATGGTGTGCAGTGAAGTGTCCATGAAGCTCCCTCATCCCCTCTATAGGTGATCCCCATTCCTCCCTCACTACTGCCACTATCTCAAAGTCAGAAAAAATTCATATGCAAAACATGGAAGAGAGGTTAAGTTTGCTTAGCAGCAACACAGTCACACTGCCCTCTTTAGGGCAGGAAAGGCATAAAAAAAACTTCCATTTTCTCTGTGCCCACCTCAACTTCAAATCACTACTCGTTCATAAACTTCCACTGAGCCTTCCTATGCTTGGTGGAGCAGTGTTGAGTCTGGGAACATTTGCAGCTGGTTGTCAGAGCTCATGCTGCCACCTCAGGAGACTCATAGCTGCAGCTGTGCACCACAGGCTGCTCACATGCCCATGAAGATAACAAAAACAGCTGGGAACAGAATAGTATTTTACCCCATCCTAACAACTCCTGCCATTTTCTCTGTGCCCCTCCACAATCCCAAATCTGCACTCGTAATTACACACTACCATGACCATCACTGTCCTCCGTACCATACCATTGACCTGGGCAGGACTTGTAGTGGGTTGGCAGTATAGCTGTGTCCACACTAGGAATGCTTTGCCAGGATAGTATACCAGTATTCCTATAACAGTGAAGCATTCCTAGTGTATTCATATACACTTAGCTCTTGCATAGCATTTTTCAGCCATAGACCAATTTCTTAAAAAAAAAACAGGTAAATATCACCATCCTACAGGTCAGGAGACTGAGGCAATTAGCCCAAGGTCACAGGGGAGGTCAGCGGAAGAGCCAGAGCTCCTGAATCGCAGTTCAGTGCCCTATTCACTGGACTGTGCTACCTGTGGGATTCACATTTAAAAGATTGCAGGATGTAGCATCAGCTATCCTGGTTACATTCACAGTGCTGCCTAAACAGGGTTTGTCTACACAGGGAAATTGACCAGGATAGCTCTTCTGGAGTAGCTCAATTACACCCTAATAAGGATCCTGGAATAGCTAATGCTGGTGTCAACGTCCCCCAGGCAGACAAGGACAGAGAGAGGATCCCCCGGGGTATCTGGGCTCCTACACGTGCAGATGGGCCCTGTGAAAAGAAGGAAGAGAGGAGACACAGCGGGAGGAAACCTTGGCAAAGCAGGGCACATAGGAAAACGAGAAATGGTTCTTTCCCAGGGTCTCTCTTTCCTGGTAGCCGTTTCCCTCGCTGCCAGCCTCTCCCACGTCAAGCCCTTACCTCGACGTGTAAAACGGAGACAGCTGCATCTAGCTGTTCAACTCCAGCCCCATTTACAGTGACCGGGGGCGGGGAGGTGTCTCCCGTTCCCGCCCCGCCTCTTTTTTTACCACGGCGGGGCCGGGGCCCGCGGCCGGCCGGTCACCTCACTAGATCCCGCCTAGGGCCCGGGCGGATGGCGCCCCCTAGGGGCGCGCCGGAATACGAGGCTAAGATGGCGCCAGCCTTCACGTTTCCTGCACACGTGAGATTC